ATTATTATTATTATTATTATTAAATTATCAAAAATCTATGAATTCTGGAAGAAAAATTAACAAATGATAACTGTGGGAACAGACTTCATTTTTTGAACGCCTTCTCTGTTATTTTTTGAGTATCATCCTGGTATATCATGTAAAAGCAAGAGGATGCCTTGCAAGAACACTTCCCAGCCCAGTATCTGTTATTATAAATCCTTTTTACTTCAGTTTACTCTTGAATCAAGATTGCCTTGCTGAAGTAAAGAATCCTCAAAACGTTTTAAAATCTTCTAATCGCGGTCTGGAGCAGGATGACATTTATTTAAAGGTTACAAAAGTAATAGTCTTTGTGTGAGGCCGGACTAGATTCAAACAACCATTTTGATGCAAGCAGGAGGTTAAATGCAATATTTGATAAATTCAAGGTCATGGACGAGCTTACGGGAAATATACGAGCCAGAGACTTACACCTTGTAAAATGTCTGCACTTCGCTTATAAGTACTCTGTTTAAAAAGATCTAGGAAAAGTTGGACGATCGATATCATTCTTTCAATTATTCTCTAATCTTAGAACTTGAAAACAGTTCGATATGCTACCGTTGCTATGGTAACTTGGTAAGTCAGATGGTCGTCGTAACTTGTACAAGATGACGAAGCATTCTTAAACACTGGTGAAACAGTTTAAAAAGTATTCATGGTAGAATTAATCCATGAAACGAACAATGTTGAAAACAACTGAAAGCCACCCCGATCAGATATAGAGATCCAAGAAATCCGCCAGAGAAGAAATATACTAATTTCCTAATTTGCAGGGTTTTTTTTTTAATTATTGATCGAGTCAGTTTTGAATAGTAAACACTCGGTATATCCAAGTTAAATCGTTCAACGCAAACAAATAGGCCTAGATAGTTAATTTGTTATAAAGAGCAAATGATCTAACCTTGTCAGAAGTTGTCATGTATTTCTTTCCTTCCTTGATCTTCATGATTTCGAGGCTTTCTCATTTTCTTCTTGATACTGTTTAACGGAGGAAACAAGAAAAAAATACATTCTGAACATGTACATACTTGAGTGCTTTTTATTCTAGATAATGAAAATTAACATCTAGATCGAAAAAGTGATTCAGAGCCACTACATTTCTGCTACCAAATTTAATGTCCTTACAAGTCTTATGAAACAAAGGCATCAGAAAATATGAAAGCAAGTACTGTCCTCCGAAGCCTCTGTGTGAAAAGTGCGAATCAACCCTGGAACCCTTGAACCCTGAAACTAGAGTCTACGTGATAACGTTTTCATGATTACACTCATACCTGGCTCTCCCTTCTTTGGCAATGTTGGAGGGTAACGAAAAGAACAAATGGGCTTAGAACACACTTTAGGTCAACACACCATAATCATCGAAGCTAATTTAAAAATATATTCGTACAGGAGTGAAAAGAAGATAATTCACTAAGCTATTAGTTCATTAAAAATAAGTACGAATTTCTCTCGTTGCCAATAAAGTCACGTTGAAGAACTGTCATGGCGGCTGCCACTGAGGACTTGTTCAAGCCACAGTGCGCTATATGCATTACGCCCTTCCTTCTTATATCAGTGACTCTGTAAATAATTTTAAAAGGGCCAGAAGGACAAAGATGAATACTGCATTACTATCGAAATTTGTCTTTCCAAAGATTATTTACCTGAAGAAATGTCGTGGCAAATTGAAAAGCATTAATCCTCGACTTGGTATCTGAACCACTTGATCCAGCAAAA